TCAGGATTTATTTATGACTTCTGTGTTCTTGACCCTGTGTCCTGAGTAACAGCAATCTTGTCTGGGTCCCCTAGAACTTGTTAGCCCAGGTAAAGGAACAGCAGAGAGATCTCCAAAGGGAGAGAACGGAAGAACTGCTGCTTTGTGGTCTTAGAAACAATAACCATTCAGAGTGGAGAATCATCTCGGCACAAAGAAATAAGGCCAAAGTTTTTCTGCCTTACTGTGCTCTTCCTCCCTCTCCTAGCATAGAAATTATATATTTCAATCTTCCTCCCAGGCTAAAATCCATTAATACAGATTCTGCCACTTCTCACACAGGCTTCACTTCAACAATCTAGGGTAACAACCACTTAGCGTTGTCTATGAAGTGCGCCCCGAATGAGGGATTCATTTTTCTGAAGATTACGAGATAGCAGGGAAAGAAGGACTGAGCTGGACAATCGTAGACCTTGATTTGAATCCAGGTTCCAACACTGAACAGCAGGTTGACCTCAGGGCTCTCTCCTCATTTATACATCCAGTTAAGTGGAGACTCTAGAGCTACCCCTCCCCACCATAGTACCTTTTCCCACATGGCCTAACTAGAGGTTCAAATTTGACAATTAATGTAATGCACTTTACATGTAGTTCATAGGATTAATGATTTATAGCTGATAAGGACCTCAAAGCCATCAATCTGGTGCAATCCCAAAAAGCTGAGGCTAAGGTAGGTCATGAAACCTGCCCAAGGTTGAAGAGATAGTAAGCATCAGAATCAGCCCTGGAACTCAGGCCCTCTGACATCAGAGCTAGCGTTCTTTCCACTATACCAAACCATAGCTCTATTTTTTTAAAAAGTCAATTATTAATATTTTTTTTAAAAGTCAATTATTATTATTTTTTCAAACCTCAGGTGATTTCATCAATGTGAAGGGCTCTACTGAGGAACATCTTGTCTTCTACCAAAGTGGATAAGCAATTTCTTTATACCTTAAATTCTCAGAAAGTTGCCTGAGGCACTTAGAGGTTAAGTGACTTGACCAGGGTCACAAGGCCAGTATGTAGCAGAGATAAGAAGTAAACCCATTTTTCTGGATTCCATGGTTAACTCTAGCTACTACACCATGCTTGCTGCCTTTTTATCCTCATTATTTTTTGCTAATACTAATTATTATCAACTAAAAATAAAATATAAATCCCTATATGTTCCACTTAAGCACTAAAAGAGGATGAATTCCAGTGCAGGAATAGAAGCTGTTTCTACTGCTTGTCTTAGGAGCATCTGATAGAAATATATGACTGAGATATTCAACAGCCACTTGACTGTATTCTATATTAAGCCAGTTACCTTATTATTCTCAGAATAATTCTCTCTAGATAAAGGAAGCTGTTCATTAAATAAAATAAACAGGATTTTTTTCCTCAGTGATTTATAGGTAAAAGGTTTTGGATTTTTTTTTCCTTTCTGAATAAAAACTGCTGCAAAGCAGACCATAAACTGCATAGGTTCAGGGACTTTCTTCACTGTCAATTATCAATTACCAATTAAATCACAGGTCTGGTCCAAAAAAGTTAATATGCTTTGAAACTTTAAGCACTATATAACTTTTCAGTTATTATTATTGCTGTTAATTACCTGAGCCCTTTTAATTAGCCTTGGTGTCCGTACTTATCTATAAAAAGGTGGTAACCCAAAACCAAACAAACAAACCAAAAAAAACATGCTTAAGACCATCTCTGGGAATGTTGGGCCCATTAGGTGCCCTAGGTGTCCATGGTCTCCTTAGTTAACTTGAAACTCAAGATTAAAGAATTTCTTTCAAGGTTTATATAGCTGAATTTTGCAATCCAAGAACCCCTACGCATTTGTGGTAGGCTAGAAGAAAACTAGCAAAGTCTCATGGCTTTGACATTTACTTCACCAAATGGCTTTCCAGTGTCTTAATTCTATATAATTGGATTCCAGTTGCCTTTTTAATCACAAAAAACCAGAGTTTTACTATAATACTACATAATCCAAAAAAGTACCAAGTTAATAAAAAAAAGTTCCTCAAATGAGACCGTTTTTAGCCTTAATAAGAATGATTTATCAACCTCCCACACAATTCCTTTATCATTTACTTCTCAGCATCCAAAAAGGTTCCTCCTTACTCCATTTATCATTTTCTCTTTCTACCTAGTTTTTAACTCCTTATCCACCAGCTCTTTCTTTATTGCTTACAAACATGCCCATATGTCCCCCAATCTATTTTAAAAAAGAAACCCAACAACAACGCCTTCATCGGATCTTCTATCTCTTCAAGCTAAAGTCTTCTCTCTTCCTGGGACCACTAAACTTCCTTTCACATTAAAACTCAGAGAGGCAGCTAGGTGGCACAGTAGATAGAGCCCCAGCCCCGGATTCAGGAGGACCCAAGTTCAAATGTGGCCTCAGACACATAACACTTACTAGCTATGTGACTCTGGGTAAGTCACTTAACCCCACTGCCTAGCCAAAAAACAACAACAATACCTTAAAACTCAGAAAAGATATCTATATTCACCAGGATCACATCTCAACTCCTGGCAAACTGGTTTACAACCTCATAACTCAAGTGAAACTGCTTTTTCCAAGATTACCAATGACCTCTTAATTGCCAAATCCAGCAGTCCCAATCCTTCCTGATCTCTCTGTAGCATCTGATATTGGTGACCATCCTCTCCTCCAAGATCACTCTTTCCCTCCCTGGATTTCTGTGAAATTGTTCTCTCCTGGTTCTCCTCCTTCCTGTCTTGTCAGTCAATCCTCAAAGCTCTGTCTGTCCTGGGCCCTCTTTTCTGTTCACTATCTCTTAATAATCTCATTAGCACTGTGTGTTCAACTATCATCTCAATGCAAAGCACTCCCAGGCCTTGTCTGTCTCCTGAAATCTAACCCCTAAACCATGTCTATTGGATATCTCTGAATACATGCCTTGGAGAGAGCTCAAACTCAACCTGTCCAAAATAAAGCTAATTATCTTCTCTCTCTCTCTCTCTCTCTCTCTCTCTCTCTCTCTCTCTCTCTCTCTCTCTCTCTCTCTCTCTCTCTCTCTCTCTCTCTCTCACACACACACACACACACACACACACACACACACACACACACACACACGAGTTCCTCTCTTCCTCACATCCTTATTTCTGCTGAGTTCCATCCTTTCAGTCACTCAGTTTACCACCTGAAAGTCATCCTCATCTCCTCCCTTTTCCTGACCCCTCATAACTAATCATGTGCCACGTCTTCCTCCCCAATATTTCTTGCATCCATCTCTCCTATTCACATGGCCACCATCATAGTTCAGGCCCTCATCACCTCTTGCCTTGATTGCTAGAGCAGTCAACTAATTTATCTCAATGACTCCAATTTCTTCCAGATCCAATCCATTCACCACATGGCCAATAACTGATATTTGTAAAGCACAGGTCTGACTATACCACTCTCTTACCCAAAACACTGCAGTGGCTCCCTACTGCCAGCAGGATAAAATATAAATGCCTCTGGCTGGCTATCCTTTCATTATCTGGATCTAAACTTACTGAACCTCACTCTCCTTCATGAACTCTACATTCCAACCCAATTATACTACTTGCTATTTCCTATTTATACCATTCTACCCCTGGTCTCTACATCTTTACAGTAGGAGCCCCCCATGCTTGGAATATACTTCATCCTCACCTCTGTCTTGAAGAATCCCTGACTTTAGGGCTTGAGTTGTGTGTCACCCCTGACAAAAGGCACTGCAATACTCATGCTACACAGTTGGCACCACCCTCCTCTCCCCAGCAGTCACTTGGTATTTACTCTGTATATGTTCCATGTACATGTTGTTGTTCATCACCACGGATCCCCACCCCAATAGAAAATAAGCTATCTCAGAGGATGTACTACTTATGCTTTATCTTTTGTATCCCCAGTGCCTGGCACATCACATGCAGTTCATAAATGTTTATTAAATGAATGAATCGGGAAAAAATATTTTGTTATAATGGCTTAATTCAGCAAGTGATTCAAATGCCAGACCTTCATTCTTCTTTGTTTGATGAAAATCATTTACATCCCCCCAATAAAGGCACTGATCTAAGTTTTCTCATCCTTTACCTTAACAGAAAACGTGTTTCAAATGCATATGAGAAATCACTAGAATTTTCCAAGTACTAAGAATGAGTTGTAAACTGACAATAGAGGCCAACGCTGGAAGAAAGAAATGTTATGGAAAGCCAAGCAGCATTCAGATCATAGAAGACAATTCTGAGATTACAGACCTAATCAGTTCAGGACATTCTATAGAGCACCTTGTAAATCTGAAGGTGATATATAAATGTAATTAGCTATATGTCTCCTGATTCCATCAACACCATCACTAGCCAAAAGACCTTGTCCCAAGTCAGAATTTAAAATGTTTATGTCCTATGTTAGTTGTATAGCTCTATACTTTATTATAAGTAAAGAAAAGAGATGATACTCACTGACATAAACAAATAAGCTACATAATATGATATGGAGTAAAGTGAAAACCAGAACAATTTTTTACAATAAACACAGCAATGTAAAGACAAACACCTTCAAAAGAGAGAACGTTGATCAGTGTGATAACTGATCGCGATTCCAGGAGACTGATAATGAAAGATGATACCTACCTCCTGAGAGAGAGGTGAGGGACTCAAGATATAGAAGGAGACACATATTTTTAGATAGGGCCAAAACAAAGGAATTAGGTTTTGCTGGAGTATGTATATTTTGTTACAAGGGTTTTGTTGTTTTTTTCCTCTAAAAAAAATTTTTGGAGTGGGGAAGATGAGAGAGAGAGAAAACAAATGCTTAAGTAAAATGTAAGTTAAAAATACATCTGTACATATAAACATATCTATTATATCCTGATACTAGTTACTTTCCAAAGAAGCATTCTTTTAAAATAAGTTAGTTCTATACATTTCATTCAACAAAATCTAACTTACTACCATAATATACCCCTGAAACAGAAAAATGCAGTACTTACCTTTGTTTCACATTTCTTGTGGCAGGAATACTTGCACACTGGGAAAAAAAAAAAAAACAAAATACAATTGCCGAGTTGCTTGGCTAGCAATGATTATTTTATCCAACAAGTCCTCCCAATCCTTGAAAAAGTTCCTATTACAGGACAGTTAGGCACTTTGGAGGGCAGAGCTGGAACTTTCCCTGATAACTAGGGAGATTATTCATTTATGATGTAATCCAAAATTGCAAAAGAAAGTTGGTGGACAGCAAGAATGAGTGCATACCAAGTTAAAATTTGATAGCAGTTACCAACTGCTAGACGGAGTAAAGTTATGATGACTCAGGTGAAAGGTTTTTTTTTCCCCCTGGAGTTCAGTTACAAAGAGATTGGTTTTCTTAAAGCGCTCCTTACTTTGGAAGCCAAATCCAAGCATGCAAGGAAAAATTCAATTGTCCTGGTGCAGTAACAAGCATAAGGATATACTTAGGCATTTCAGGACACTTGCCTGAAGATCAGAAATGTTTCAAAATACCAGGATTTTGAAAAGCAGTAACTCCATGCTTTGAGCTCCAATGAAAGTTGTACGTCTGATTTACTTACTTCATCCATTTCCGGACAACATAAGAATCAACTGTCAAAATAAATACATGTCTAAATTCCTACAGGCAAAACCTTCAACTTGGGCCAATTGTCTAAACTGAGCAGGTCATGCGTCGGCTTGAAGGTCCTAACAATGACGATTTAAAACTGGAAGCAATGCAGATTTCACAGGACTTCTCCCCAGGAGGATGCAGCTGTGTCATAATAAGGAACTAAAAGCATTCTCCCTCAGCCACAATAGGATCTCCATAATCACTCTCTGACCACTAGTTGCTTTTTTTTTTCTCTATAGGAAACAACTGGGTATTCAAAGACTTCAAGACTGAAGGATGACAGAGAGAATTTCACCATCTCCTACACACACAAGATCAATCAATGTTGTAACTCAGGCAGTTAGTTACTTCAAGTTTTCCTTGTATCCTGAATTTTAAACTGACTTTTCTAATTTCCTCCATACTCAGGACCTCATGTGCCTTCTCATTTTAAATGGGATTATTCATGTTGTTGGTCATAGAATAACATCAACCAGGAAAAATATTTATTTTTCATCTAGTGAGTGCACACCCCCAGAAGTAACTATGTTAAATGGTTAGCCGATCAAAAGAATCTTGCTGTGGAAATGGTGGGCTGGGGGTGGGGGGGTGGCAGGAGTGGGGACTCTATCCTACACAGATCACAAATCTATACGGCTTGGAACCTATTTTGAGTAAGAACTATACCTGATATATATAAAAGGAAGGTAAAAATCTACAATGACTTATTTATCCATTTGGTCAATGATATTCATTGTGTAGGAGTGAACTCCGGAATTCTTCCTGCACCCCTAGGGCACTCTGATGCATGTGCTGAATGAAGCATAAAGACTAGCCAACCATAAAATTATTTTAGCTTCTATTATGCCTGATTCTGAAATTTGCCATGGAACTGGAAGAGCTGCCATTAGGCAGGAAAGCAAGAGTGTATATGGGTAGTATGTGGCCCTAAAAGAGAAGTTTATTTATTTAAATGGCATCCTCTCCCCCAAGAGCCATCTATGCACAAGAAAAGTCCCAAAAATAAGCCATGTGCCAAAAGTCTGGGAACACAGAGACAGGTCTATCTGTTTTACTTGAGTGAACATAAGGCTCTTAAAACCTAAGGCATGAAATCATACTTCATTCAGCAAGGACTTTAGAACTACCTCACAGGCTGACCTCCAAGTAACAAATCATTCTGATTATAAGATACAAATGCACCAACTTTGAACCCCCAAAGCCTCCAACTCAGACGAATGCATACAGGATCCAGATGTACCAGTACTACTCAGACAAAAGTCTTGAGGAGCAAGACAGTTTGCTAGGATAAGGTTTTTAGACAGAGTCTAATGGCAGAAGGAACCTCTCCGTCCAAGGTTTCCCATATATTATTCCAAATGTCATATGTAAACTCCAAAAGCATGAACTATAAAAGTTAATTTATTTCTTACTCTGTTTCCCAAACACCTACTTCAATCAATATTTGAAAATGAACTATGTCTTAAACCACAAGGTCTCTCTCAAAGTTTTCTCGTAGTGGCAAATTAGCTTTAAAGCATGAGTTCTTAACATTTGTGTGAGTCATGGACCCCTTTGGCAGTCTGGTGAACTCTGTGCACTCCCTAGAATAATGTTTTTAAATGCATAAAATACATGATGTTACAGAGGAAACCAATTATATTGAAATAGTTGTCTAACTGAATTGCAAAAATATTCAACATTGTAAAAAAACAAACAATTTTGAAAGGCAGAAGAATTCTGATCAACATAAATAATCAACTGTAATTCCAGAGGAGTTATGGGGAAGAATGCTAGAGCTGCCTCCTAACTAAATGGCAGAATGAGACACATTTTTGCATATAGCCCATATGGGAATTTGCTTACTTGACTATGCCTATTTATTAACAACTCAGCCCAGAGTATAGGATGGAGTTGAAAAGGGAAAAAAAAAAAAGCTTGATAATTGAAAAAAATATTATTTTAAAATATCTGGTATTTTGATGAAAAAAAAGTTATCAAAATAAGTTTTTCTAAAACTTCATAGACCCCCAGGTTAAGAACTTCTGGTTTAAGGTATTAAAATATAATGAAATTGATTTTTAAAATCCTCCTAAGGATGAGATCAGAGTCTGCTCAGGTAATGGGGTCAAAACAAGGTTCCCATTGTCCTCTAAAATAGAAAGCCTTTTCCGCTTAATTCTCTGATGAAAATCAACATGTATAATATTAACCTAACTAGTACTGGATGCAACACTGACTACATCCTGTAATGCTGCTACTGCTGCCATTTTAATGCATTTCAATGACATGTTTATACCAAGAAAACAAAAGGACTATTTAGAGAAGAAAATCACAATTTCCATATCACTTCGGTTAGGAAAACATCTTACTTTTGCTTAATTTGCATTTTATGCACTAAGAATTCTGTGCATCTTGAACTAAAGATTAGAATAAGATGCTCTGCACTCCTCCCCCTCCCCCACTCTCATTAACCCCACATCTATCACCATCAGCTCTCCATTAAGTTCCAAAGGTGTACTCGTCTGCTGTATTTTTCCATAGATCCTATATCTTTTCAACACCAGACTTCCGAAGAGGATCTACGCTCACTGTCTCCTCTTCTCTCATCACCTACTTACTGGTTAAATTCTTGCAATCTGACTTCTACTACTACCCTTCTCTAGAAGCTGTTTCCTCAGAAGGTCAGTGACCTGCTAATAGCCAAATCCAAGAGCCTCTTCTCAATTCTTGTCCCCCTTGACCTCCGTGCTGTATCCACCCCTGTGGCCACCCTTCCTCACTTCCATGACATGACACTTTCCCAGTTCTCTTTCTACCACCATCATAACTCCTACTGACAGTTCCTGCTAGTCTTTCTGCAGCTTTCATTGCTCATCCTTTATCTCCTCTCATCCTTCACTATCAGCATTCATTCCCCAAATGCCAAGGACAGAAGCAGGCAGGTATAACAGGGAGTCGACTAGTAGTCCTCTGAATATAATCCATGACCAAGGGCCAAAATGACAGTCTTGCTGTTCCTTATACACAGCAAACCCCACCTCCCCCCCCACACACACACACACATTTTCATTCCCCTTGGGACTGCACTACTGACTTTCTAAATTATCTCTCCCATCCTCCTGGGCAGTTGGTATGTTAATCATTCCTCTCCCCATTATTCCCCCCAATCCCACCCAAGCACCCTCTAATGTGTTACTTTCCTCACTTGAATATAAGATCCTTGAAAGCAGGGGCTGTTTCTATTTGTATGGTATTCCCTACACTTAGCATAACACATAGTAGGTGCTTAAGAAATGCTTACTGACTCGACTTGTCTTGACATACCTTTCAGCTGCCTGTCTTCCATGCCTACAATGCACTTCCACCTCTCTTCCCTGTCTCAGAATTCCTAGTTTTCTTCAAAATTTAGCTCCATCATCACACATGCGGCTTTTCCTGACACCTGAAGCTGATGGTGCCTTCCCCTCAAAAAGTACCTTGCATCCAATTGCAGTATACACACACACACACACACACACACACACACACACACACACACGTATCACTCTAAGACAGTTAGCTCTTTCAATGTAAGAACTATTCTCATTTCTGTCTTGGCATCTCTACCACCTAGCACAGTACTTGGCACACAACAGGCACTTAATGAAAGCTTTTGGACTGACAAAGAATGAAGCTGATATTCAAAGCCTTTTGGGGTTGGTAGGACCTAGCAGAGTTTGGGCTCTGATGGTAAAACCTCAGTGAAACCACTGTCACATCCATGCCATGAAAAAGCCTCAGAAAAAGGGCTGAGTGAGGGGAGGAGAGTTCTACCTGTCACACACCACTCTAGTCATCCCAGCTTCACTGTCACCCCGAGGGGAGTGTCTGGGTGATATAATGGCACTGGCAGAATTACATTTCAAATATACATACAGGAGTCAAGGTGCTTGAGCAAAAGGAAGCCAACAGAGACCAGCAAAGAACAAAGTACAGAGAGAGAAACAATGACAAGTAATGGAAGGCCTGAGAGAGACACACAGGACTACACAATGGTATTAACGGTGTCCAGCATTTATCTAGCAGGTTAAGATTTGCAAGACACTACCTAAATTAGCTCCTCCAATCCTCACAGCCTTATGTGGTAGGTGCTATTATTATCCCCATTTTACAGGTGAGACAGATACAGATTAAGTGACTTGTCCAGGGTCACACAGCTAGGGAGGGTATGAGGCTAGATTTGAATTCAGGTATTCTTGGCTCCAGGTTCAGTGTTCTATCCACTTTACCACCTAGTTGCCTCTAAGGTAAAAGCGTCACACAGCTAAGTGGCTGAGCCAGAATTCTAACTCAGGACTTCCACACTCCAAGTCCAGCATCATAGCTACTATGCTACTTGGCTGCATGCAACACTGTTGCACATGGAGAAGGAGTTGTTTAGC